TTCTGTTTCACTCTTATACTTGTCAAAACTCTATTGATTCTCTTCACTGATCTTCTTGTTTACCTTTGTGTGCTCTTTGGAACGTGGCAACTCGAACTGCTGCACTTTGGTGCCAAGTTCTATGTTAAATGCAGCCAGCCATTCTATGTTACCGTTACTTGTATGCTAACAAAACCATGTTTTCATCGATAGATAATTTTGTAAAGTAACTGACGCCAGATTAGTAGAAGACTGTGTGTTCGAATCATGTCGGGTTCACTAAATGTAAAGTACTGGTAGTGCTGTCAACTAGCTTCCTTTTAGCAGTCCTTACTCAACACAATTTACCTATGTACTCAATAATTCAGTACTCTACCTAACCTGTAAATACTGACGACAAAACGCAAATTAAAAGGACTTGGTTATTATCAAGGAAAAAGAGCTCAAGTGAACCATACTATTATTGTTTCCTTTAGTTCCTAGAGGAACATAGGGCTTCAGCCTGACTTCTCCATTGCGTTCGGTTCTCCGCCAACCTTCCCACCTGGCTCCATGTCTGCCCATATGCTTTCATCTCCTCTTCGCATGACCTACTCCTTTTCTATGTCACCCTGGCCCTGATGACCAGCTAACTCACCGCTTCCCATTCGGGTTTTACTCGAGCGATGGTCTGTCGTGTGATGTCACTCACTTGATGGTTTGTTTTCTCAGAGTATGGCCAATCCACCTAACTCCATTTGTTCTTGCATATTTGTTGCACAATTGGTTCATGCTGGGTTGGTTCGTTCATTGCCAGAGATCCCTGTTGCTGATCTTTTCTGGCCGGTCATCTGATCTTGAGCGATGTATTGAGCGAAAACAGATGTCGATGAAGGTCTGTAGCTTGTTCGAAGTGCCCTTCGTGCTGCGCCAAGTTTCTTATCCATAAAGTAGCACTGACTTCTCATTGGAGTTGAAAATCCGGATCTTATTTTTCATGCTAAATGCTGTTAACCTCCACACAGAATTGAGAGAAATGCAAGCTTGCCTTGTTTTCCTGATCCTCGCTTTGATATCCTTATCAGTTCTGTCCGCCTGTAGTTGGAGCGGTGCTTCCCAGGTTGGAGGTGGGTAGGTGAAGGATTTCAGATTTCTTCCATTTATGCTGATTGTTGTCTGTTGTTGTTGTCGCTGTTTCTGTTAGCGGGCAGGAATCGTTATAGTCACCTCTGGTTTCTCTATGTTCATCTGAAGGTAGGCCTATATTTGATGCTTCTTCTATCGCCAACTTGTTGCTTTTCACTTGTATATCTTCCCGGTTTGTGGGAAAATCAGGTATGTATCATCGGCACAGTCCATAAATGCACTATGTATTTTGAGTATAATCAAAGGTAAAGATTATTCAAGGAAAAGGGTCTAGGACTTACCTAATGGGTATGGAATTATTGCAAACTCAAAGAATGTGCGTATAGAGACAGCACAAGGGAAAAGTACAAAATGGCGTTGGCGCCACTCGGTTTGTGTACAAATTAAAGCAAAGTCTTTAACATTGGAATGTGCGCCGCAACCTTAAGCCATATCTCTTTTTCTGTCATCAAGGAAGTAATAGCAAGCACTTCTTTTGTATAAGCGTAGATATTTATTCTCTAATCTTGTGATCGATTAAATAATGATCAATAATAATCACTTTACAGGATTTTCATCATGAGCTGACATTAGTTAGAGAACCATTGGAAAACCTGGGAGTACTGGACAGCTGTTTCGTCCTAGTTTGGGACTCTTCATCAGTACGCACCCACCGGGATTCGAACCCAGGACCTTCTGGTTACATTAAGCCACTGGGACCCGATCCAATGACCCATGAATTCTAACTTCTGCCAATTCACGACATAGCGCAACCACTAGCCAATGTCTTCGGTGAGTATTTGTCCTCACACCCGACCTGCTGCACCCTACTGGTCACGACTTCTCACTAGAACCCCAGGTAACTGCCTACCTGAATAGGGCAAGTCCAAACAATAGCAATAGTTATACAGAATGCAATTTTCAGCCTTTTTTTATACATATTACAATAATTTACCTGCTTTCACATAAATATGTACATACATAAAATTTAAAATAGTAATAATAATAATAAAATTAATAACGAAACCAATATAAACGGAATGTTGGTGGAAACATAAAGAAGTATAAGTAGATAGTATCATAGCTAATACATGGAATAATAATTATCATCTTTGCTTACACTTACTTTGCATTTCAGTTGCTGGTTTAAAAAGTTTATAAGTTCTTTTCTGACATCTGACTTTCTCTCACTCCACACAACTACCCATGCTAAATATGGTGGTATGGTAGAATCCTCATATTTATCAGAGGATTTAACCGAAAATGTGCCACTCTATAGAAGGTATGTAGATGATGTTGTAATCATCAGTGATAAGTCTTGTTCTGCCAACTCAATTTTAAATCGAATGAATGAAGTTCAGAATAGCATATCACTTACATCTGTAGAAGAGGAAGATAATTGTTTATCTTTCCTAGACATATTACTTAGTCGACGGCTTGATGGGTCAATAAAAAGATCTATTTATAGAAAACCTACCTGGACAGGAAATTATCGTAATAATAACAGTTTCTGCCCTGTCCGGTACAAAAGAGCCTTAGTGAGCGAGGTGCCTCTTCAGTAGAATCCAACGAATGTGCACTGAAGACAGATACACTTGATGAGGAAGTAAGAAAGAAAGTTGACACAAGCTCTGGTTGATAATAATTATCCAGACAAGTTCATCAGGACATATAAAGTAGTCAGAACACCAAGACCCACTCACTCTCCAACTCGCCACTAAGAAAGACGTGTACATCAAGCTACCCTACATGGGGCATCATAGCAGCTTGATAACTAGACAAAAACAATTCGTCATCACATTAAACCTTCCTTCGTAAACTTTGTTTTGATAACATAGCAGATGTACTATTACCTCTGTTATTTGGTTTAGTGGTCTTCATTGTTATTTTGATCTTGAATATGTCCTTTTAACTTGACTTAAGTAGTCTATTTTCTCACCTCTTACCTCTTTATTAATTTCATATATGTGTACTCCTATAACAAGTCCGTGTGTGATCAGATTGTTCGAAATGTGTTGCGCAAATACAGCATTACACGATTCAGACAAATTACGTCTTCTTATTGCTTCGTCTATATTCATAAAGGGAACTAATTATTTTAAAGGTAACTTTAGCCCAATAACTGCTTGCAAGAATTGAATTGAATTGCCTATCAATCAACAATGACAGTGTCAGTTAGCTGAGTCAAAGGCACATACACCACTAACCCTGCTTACTCTCAGCCTCCAGTGTTCTGCGTAATAAGACGTGGTCATTTTTGAGAAGTCCAGGAAAGAATAATAGGGTCGAACAATTTATTTTTATTTTATTTTGATTACAGTTTGATGCCACACCGTATTTTCAGTACAAGTATGGAATTTTCAGCATGTGATATCGGTAGCCCAAATTTCGCAGGCCGACCATAGATATCGGGTGTGCGTCGGCAGGGGATCGAACCCCGGACGATGTACATGGTCGGCGAGAGTCCTAACCACTGTGCCACCGACGCACAATAGAGGAGAATGGGTAGAATACATGAATTAATGAATAGTAAGATTAGAGGTTGAGGCTCAATTTTAAGTACATAAGTCAAACGAAAATTTTTCTTGGAAACCAACAGGATATGATGAGACGACCGAAAGAGATTCGAAGGAAAACTGATGCTGAGATAAGAGAGATATTCGATTCACTCCCTATCATTACAGTGCTGTCAACATTGTGATAGGAATCATGCGACTGAATCAATCAGTCCACACACACACACAAGTCTTGTTCGCATTTGAAACTAAAATCAACAATATGACATATTTACATGGATTCATTTAAAGACCATTTAAGTAAGACCACTGGTTAACTTAAGACAAGAATCTATTCGTATATGAACACTACAAAGCAGAAACTACTACTGGGACAGAAATGAAGTGAAGCTTGATTCCTGAGGATATTACTTAATGTGATTATGGATTGTTATTTACAAGAACAGATGACCAACCTATAAAGCACAAAATAATTGAGCGAAGAATATCCTTTTCGATAATTTCCTCTTCTGGCTCTACTATTACATATATGTTTATATACACAGAATATTCTAGATTAGTAGTCAATAACAATATTGGTGTTTTGTTTTAAATAATATCGATTTGTAAAGCAAGATCACGATGGAATTACAGTTCATTAAAGATGCTTAAATTATTATAATAATATGGATATAGTAGCAAATAGAATATCAGCTGAAATTAGGGAAATTTCACAAAAATTCTGGATTATTCAAACCTGGATGGCCAAGGTAATGATAATGACTGAACTAACTTCTTTTGAATGCACAAATTAGGCTTATTAATATGGATCCCAACGACCAGCCTTAGCAATATTTAGTAGTCGAACTCTTAAGGCGAAATTGAGATTTGTTGGTATGCGCTAAATGACTCTGAAAACCCTTTTTAACATCAATCTTGTGTTCTGTCTCCACAAGATGAGATAGAATAGTGCTACGAATAGGTTTTGTTTGTCCTTTGCTTAACCACAATACAGGGTGATGTTTGAAAATCCGACGAGGAACACGCCTAATTGTACGGCTTATGCAACTAACTGGCTCACTCCACAGGAGCAGTTAAACTGGTAGATACACATGGAAGAGGCGAAATTAGGCAGTTTATATCTCACTCCCGAACGCAAAATAAGCGTGGAGTGGTTTTGAAGATATAGCGTAATTCAGCAACAACACTGAATGCTCTTTGTACCGCATTTCTAAGGCGCTGTGTTAGTATCTCGCTAATGTTGTCCCCGAGGAGCTGAATTTGTAAGAATGAGGCCTTCCTTTTTCGGAACTGTTGGCACCTTAGGCTGCTTTGATTTTATATTCATATTCTTATCACAATAAACTTTTCTGGATAACCTTATACATATATATATGTTTATAATTGTAATGTCTTACACAGATCGACTTGAATTATTACAACGTCTTCTGTTGGCAGTTCCACCATCTTTTGTCGACAGTGATTCTTCTCTTGTCAATAACACTAACAGTTCGTCGACACAATTTCAATTATGGATTGATTTATCATCTTTGTGGAGTTCCATTGAAATTGACGATGATACAGTACAAAAACAATTTTATCCTGTTTGGTTCACTCAGATTGCCTTACTCTATGCTGGAATTCTAAATATTCCTGCAGTAAGTGATTGAATAATTTACTCTCCAGAATGTACATAAGTTTGAATTGTGCTCAGATAATTACCTATATATTTGTGAATTAGGGTTGACATAGTAGTATGTCGTTTAACTAAGGTACTAGGTAACGACTGGGAATCAGAGACGGTTCCATCAGATTGGGGTAAGTCACTTATTATACCAATATTCAAGAAGGGAGACAAGTCCTCATGTGATAATCATAGGGGGATCAGCCTGACGAACATAGTCTCTAAAATCCTAGGCTCAGTAATCATACACAGAGTAAGCTGAACTCGGGAAGAACAAACGAGGGAAAATCAAGCGGGCTTTAGGCCAGGTAGAGGGTGCATAGATCATATCTTCACTCTCCGACAGATCCTAGAACATTGACACACTTTTAGGCGCCCAACAATTGCCATATTTCTTGACTTGAAGGCGGCCTTCGACTCCGTGGATCGAGAGGTTCTATAGCAATGTTTGACTATGAAGGGAGTGCCAAGAAAGTACATTGCACTAATCAAGGCACTCTACTCAAACTCACGTAGCTGTGTAAGGGCTTATGGGGAATTGTCATGTGAATTGATAACAACCAGTGGTGTCCGTCAAGGATGTCCACTTTCCCCTTTTCTGTTTAACTTCATCATAGATATGCTAATGGAAGTATCCTAAACTGAACTTAACGACTTAGGAATTGACTTGTTACCAGGGAATAGTCTTATGGACTTAGAATATGCAGATGACATAGTCCTGTTAGGGGAGGATGCTGACAAAATGCAGACAGGGTCTTCTGAACACCTTGAGCAGCGATCTTCGTATGGTTGGCATGCGATTCGCCCATGTGAAATGTAAGATGCTGCTACAGGACTGGACTACGTCTACCCCTAGCTTAGTGATAGGAAGTGAAGTGATAGAACATGTTGACCACTTCACCTATTTGGGAAGTTGTATCAGCACCAATGGACTGATTGGCGACGAAATCTCAGCACGGATTCAAAAAGCTCGGGCTGCTTTCGCTAACTTACACCGTCTCTGGCGTAGGCGTGACATCCGGCTATCAACCAAGGGACGTGTATACTGCTCAACAGTTCTCTCCGTCCTTCTCTATGGCTCTGAAACATGGCCAATACGAGTTGAAGACATGAAAATGTTGACTGTTTTTGATCATAGATGTCTACGATCTCCTTCTTACGTTAGGTGGCATCATAAGGTATGTAATGTTGACGTTAGGCGTAGAGTGTTGGGCAAAGAGGGGAAATCAATCGAAGAGGCTATGAAGTTACATAGATTGAGATGGTTAGGTCACGTGCTGCCTCGTTATCGCCTCCCCCGACGGGTATTACTAGCTGATATAGATGCAGGTTGAAAAAGAGTAAGTGGTGGCCAAACAAAAACATGGCATCAATCCATGAAATCCTTGACAGTTAAACTGAGTCGGGAAGGGAGATGCAGGCTTCCGGGTTGGGGCTGAAGCCATGCCACAATAGGTGACATGGCTCAAAATCGTTGTCAATGGCGCAGATATATTCAGTCTCTTTAACCTTCATACTCCTTTCTACCATTACTCATTCTGTTTCACTCTTATACTTGTCAAAACTCTATTGATTCTCTTCACTGATCTTCTTGTTTACCTTTGTGTGCTCTTTGGAACGTGGCAACTCGAACTGCTGCACTTTGGTGCCAAGTTCTATGTTAAATGCAGCCAGCCATTCTATGTTACCGTTACTTGTATGCTAACAAAACCATGTTTTCATCGATAGATAATTTTGTAAAGTAACTGACGCCAGATTAGTAGAAGACTGTGTGTTCGAATCATGTCGGGTTCACTAAATGTAAAGTACTGGTAGTGCTGTCAACTAGCTTCCTTTTAGCAGTCCTTACTCAACACAATTTACCTATGTACTCAATAATTCAGTACTCTACCTAACCTGTAAATACTGACGACAAAACGCAAATTAAAAGGACTTGGTTATTATCAAGGAAAAAGAGCTCAAGTGAACCATACTATTATTGTTTCCTTTAGTTCCTAGAGGAACATAGGGCTTCAGCCTGACTTCTCCATTGCGTTCGGTTCTCCGCCAACCTTCCCACCTGGCTCCATGTCTGCCCATATGCTTTCATCTCCTCTTCGCATGACCTACTCCTTTTCTATGTCACCCTGGCCCTGATGACCAGCTAACTCACCGCTTCCCATTCGGGTTTTACTCGAGCGATGGTCTGTCGTGTGATGTCACTCACTTGATGGTTTGTTTTCTCAGAGTATGGCCAATCCACCTAACTCCATTTGTTCTTGCATATTTGTTGCACAAATTGGTTCATGCTGGGTTGGTTCGTTCATTGCCAGAGATCCCTGTTGCTGATCTTTTCTGGCCGGTCATCTGATCTTGAGCGATGTATTGAGCGAAAACAGATGTCGATGAAGGTCTGTAGCTTGTTCGAAGTGCCCTTCGTGCTGCGCCAAGTTTCTTATCCATAAAGTAGCACTGACTTCTCATTGGAGTTGAAAATCCGGATCTTATTTTTCATGCTAAATGCTGTTAACCTCCACACAGAATTGAGAGAAATGCAAGCTTGCCTTGTTTTCCTGATCCTCGCTTTGATATCCTTATCAGTTCTGTCCGCCTGTAGTTGGAGCGGTGCTTCCCAGGTTGGAGGTGGGTAGGTGAAGGATTTCAGATTTCTTCCATTTATGCTGATTGTTGTCTGTTGTTGTTGTCGCTGTTTCTGTTAGCGGGCAGGAATCGTTATAGTCACCTCTGGTTTCTCTATGTTCATCTGAAGGTAGGCCTATATTTGATGCTTCTTCTATCGCCAACTTGTTGCTTTTCACTTGTATATCTTCCCGGTTTGTGGGAAAATCAGGTATGTATCATCGGCACAGTCCATAAATGCACTATGTATTTTGAGTATAATCAAAGGTAAAGATTATTCAAGGAAAAGGGTCTAGGACTTACCTAATGGGTATGGAATTATTGCAAACTCAAAGAATGTGCGTATAGAGACAGCACAAGGGAAAAGTACAAAATGGCGTTGGCGCCACTCGGTTTGTGTACAAATTAAAGCAAAGTCTTTAACATTGGAATGTGCGCCGCAACCTTAAGCCATATCTCTTTTTCTGTCATCAAGGAAGTAATAGCAAGCACTTCTTTTGTATAAGCGTAGATATTTATTCTCTAATCTTGTGATCGATTAAATAATGATCAATAATAATCACTTTACAGGATTTTCATCATGAGCTGACATTAGTTAGAGAACCATTGGAAAACCTGGGAGTACTGGACAGCTGTTTCGTCCTAGTTTGGGACTCTTCATCAGTACGCACCCACCGGGATTCGAACCCAGGACCTTCTGGTTACATTAAGCCACTGGGACCCGATCCAATGACCCATGAATTCTAACTTCTGCCAATTCACGACATAGCGCAACCACTAGCCAATGTCTTCGGTGAGTATTTGTCC